AAAAAAAATTTGAACAGCTGATAGAATTTGGAATTTGCTGTGCTGTTTAAAAGGGTTCTATCATAGCTCTAATCAATGTACCGACCGTCCCATACCAGCAAAACTAACAGGAAAACAAGCGTAGGGCCTTCCGTACATTGAATGCTGATTCACTAAAAAGTGCCGTAAAGAGCTCGGAGATATCTCATTTCCTTCAGAAATCTTTGCTCTACAAAACAGACGTTTTGCAACGAATGGTTAGATTGAACTCTGGAAGCTGATTTTCTGAGATTTTGGTTTCCAGAGACTCTGGTTTAAAGAGCTATGATAGAACCCTTTTAAAAAGCACAGCAAATTTCAAATTCTATCAGCTGTTCAACTTTTTTTTCAAATTTCTTCTAGCTTGTACGGTCCACGAGAAAAATCAAAACTTAGTCGTTTATCAAAATCAGTTTGTTTATCAATAATTATTTGCGATCTTGTTTTCACACAGATTGATTGCGTCGACAGTGCATGAAGAACAAGAAAAAGTTTTCTTAACACTTCTGTTGTGTCCCCTGAAAATGTATAGAAAAGAATTGCTCTACGATGGTGATTCCCTGATAAACTTCAGAAAGTACAGTTAAAATCATTTTTCTGTCATTATTATTTTACGCCAATTATTATCATGATGAAGGCCAGTAGTCGTACCAGCTCGCCATCCACCAGTAGCCCGATCCAGATACCAACTTAGACGTTTATCGCCATCTACAGTTTCTATATCTACCTTACTTTGAATTATTTTTGGTAATGGCGAAAATCCAAATGATGTATTAGAAGTGAGATACCAATAGACATTGTTATAATAAATGGGTTGATTAAGAGAAGTTTCAAGTTGCAAAATAGTAGACGGACCAACAGCAGCTAATGCCAGAACAGTTGAAGATGATCCATTTATAGCACCAACCAATATTCGTTTATCAATACATTTGGTATACAGCTGACGAAGTTCCTCAGTTGTTGTATCCCAGCTATATGGATGGTCATATATAATATACCAATTCTTTTCTAGTGTAACCAGTGGTATATTCTGAAGAACTTGATTCCATGGAGGACATATTAATTTATGTTCATGTAAGATCGTTTCAAAGGTTTTCAACCATTTTTTCCAATTTCTCAATCTTTCCTCTATTTAGTTGATCATTTTTCTCAGTTGCATCCAGGCGAGTATTGACACATTTTATGAGAGTTTCTAAATTGGTTTTGTTATGTTGATCATTTCTCTCGGCTGTATCTAATCGTACGCTCAAACATACTACGAGCTCATGCTTATCATGTTGTTTATAGATGCATTTGCATTTTATACATTCCACTTTAACTTCTGCACAGACTAATTCATGTTTAGTCAGATCTTTTTTCAACACTAGATCTGAACATCCTCGACATTTTAACTGTTGATATTGACAATCTTTTTCATGTTTTTCAATTGAATCATAGAGAGGAACGTCGGTACAACCATTATCAACAAATTTACATTTAATTTTTAATTTTGACAGTAGAGCATTGATCATTGGTGGACAACGTTTTTCTTCAAACTGTGGACATCGAAATGGACAAGATGAATTGTTATTTGTCCACTGTTGAATACATGAGGTACAAAACACATTATCACAG